GAAAAACGCCGTAATATCTTATAGTGACGTGTAAAACTTTCGCCGCTGATAGGGCCGCCGCAATAGCTACCCAACGTTTAAAAAACGTCGCTAAAAATATTAGACGGCGTTTTAAAAAACGCCGTAAAATCTTTGACCACCGTCTCATCCTCCGTCCCAAATTAACGTGTGACGTCACAATGACGTCATTTAGTGGCGTTTTTAAAAAACGCCACTGTTTTTTTTTATTTTTTTAATTTGTGCTACTCCCTACAATGACGTCATTTTGTGGCATTTTTTCAAAAAACGCCACTTTTTTCTTCTTCTTTTTTTTGTTTTTTTGGGTGGGGGGTTCCTGCTGCTGATGCAAGAATATAAAATAAAATACCATTTTGAATGGTAAAATAAATCCATTCAAAATATATATAAAAAAGAGTAAATAAAACGTGATGGTCATTATGATTCAATCATTGATCATAAATTTTGTTGAAAATTGATATTACAGAGTTATGTGATTACTAAGACCAAGCAATCTGTGGGTATTGTTATTATTCCCTCTTTTTCTTCTGTTTGGTTCTTCATTTAAGAAAAATAAATAAACAAAAATAGAAGTCACAAAGTGAAAATAAAACCACCAATTTCCAATCAAAACATAGCTGTCACTTTTGGTACTTCAAAGAACATCAAAACATCTTGCTCTTCTCAAGCCATTCTTTAGCAGGAGCCTCGTTCATTGAACCTACTTTAGCAGCAGTCTCTCCCACTGACAATAAGAACTCTACAAAAAAATATTTGAAGAGACCCAACTTACTGAGAATACTAAGAGATAGTTCTGTCACCATATCTTCAACCAGCAGGCAAAATTCCCCAAAACCTGTTCAAAAGTTCAATGATGCAAACATAGAAGATGTTCCGGCTTTTTCTCTGTTCTACACTCTGCATCTTCTCACCAAAGAGCTCCTCAAAAGATCAAACCACCCTCATTAACACATCATTATTCATTCTTCATCACTGTCACCTCTATTTTCAGCCACATTCACCCTCTCCATAGCATTGATATCTGGTTCATCTCCTAAATAGCAAATAGATGTATCTGAGGATGATCCAACAAATCCCATTTCATGCGGGTGTCAGACCATGGGATGATGGGTGAGGAATTGATTGTAAGAAGTTGAAGTAAGCATATTTTACATCGAACTGCATATCATACCCTGCAAGATAACATGCGCGTTAGATTCTTATACTCCTTTTTTTAAGTCAAAGCAAGAAAAAGGAAGAAGCGTCAAATTTGTAATTACAATAGTTCACTACGATGGTGCGTGTCCTCTGCACCAACAACCATGAAAAAAGGGGAGCAACATGTCACAGTTGTCTAAATCCACCAAGCAAATGGTTGATATAACCGCAAAAAGTGGGAAAAGCCAATCACTTGTAACATCCTTCAATCTCCTGCACATATCTATGGAATGAATTGTAGTATATATGCCCATGTAATTCATTATAAGTCATCTTAATAATCTAAATCGCTTTTTTTTTTAGTCTACGATAGTATAATCAACGAACAAAATTTTGATACAGAGTTCCGATACAAAATGGGATCACGACAGTTAAATGGAAACAAAGATAATAACTAAGATTAAAGGCACACTACTTTTAGAATAGTAGTTTCTGACTGACAAAGATAATGAAAAAAAAAATGTTAACATCATCAATAAAAACCTTAAGAGAAGTTTCTGACTGAATGCTATATACCCCTTAAAAATGAACTTCTCAACAAATTTTCCTTTGTTGTTTTCCCTGCCTGTTTTCCACATCATTTTTATGTATCTTCTCAACAAACCATCACACAGTGCAATTATCAGAGTATAATCCGTTTAGTGAAAGCACATGGTCAGGAATATCCCTACCTGTGCTCCAGAGCTCGAGGCTTGCTTTGCAACTTCATCTAGAAAATTAGTTGGAATGTCTTTTTCTGAAATAAATCCAAAATTTAAGCTTTTCAAAAAAATCCAGAAATCACAGACAAACAAATCAATTCAATGGAAATTAACCACTAGTGAAAAAGTAAATAACGCAAGTAGTGCAGATAGTGTGGGAAACACAAAACAACCTTGCAAAAAGGGTACTGAAACCTCTCCTCCACCAACTCTCAAGACATTCTCCTTCAAATCAATTATGCACTGCAACCAGTAGCTATTTAGAACTAACTATTTAACCACTCTGGATTTTGGAGAAAGTCATAAATTTAAACAGCTTGAAAGAATAACCATGTTACCTGGTGCTTACGAAGCATATCCAGCCCAAAAAGGAAATCCATATTAGGAGAATCCAAAACCACGAAGGAACAAGGGTAAAACACATTCCCAACCTAAAAATGTTTTTTTTTTAAAAAAAAAAAAAGAAGAAAGAAGAAAGAAACAAAGATAAAATGTTAGCATACAAGTTTACAATAGTACAAAAAAGAGATACTTCGCATAGTAAAGAATTTTTTTTAAAGAGAAATCAGATACATGTCATATATTCATCAACATATTTCAAACTAATAATAACCTGCAAGGCTAAGAGTGCACAAATGAGAGATGTGCTTCCCTGTAATTACAAACTAAAGGTAAGCACAATATTTTTCCACACCTTGCTTACACACACACAACATACAAAGCATGGAGTAAGGAAAAAAGGAGAACCTCCAACTACTGAAGATGACACATGAATTGCAGGCAACAACAAAATATAGATTGTCACTAAACCAAGTACTCAAATATTTCCCAATCAGTAAATTATGAAACATTTGAATAACAAGAAGTCAACAGGTGTCAAACATGCTCTCCATTTTCACATTTAAATGTGCTTTGAGAGAAGTATAACAATAGAAAAGCAAAACACATCAGATTATCCATTCACACAAGTAGGCGTGCATGCACATGCAGACATAGAGGCCTACTGATCAGAAAATCAAATGCGACAAAGCAACTTCCCTAGAAAACTGGTATGAGCATTACCTTGATTGGAGCAACATGAATCCGACCTAATATCTCCGATTGACCAACCCCATGAGCAATGCCCTTATAACGTTGATCCATATGCCTCAACAATCTGCAAGAGGATGTATCAATGACAATAAGCCTTTCTTCACTTAGATCTTAAACATACTATAATGTAGACAAAGTAGAAAACAATGACCATGACAAAATGAATAACATGTATCACTAACAATCTATGCCCACAGAAGTGCATAGGACAAAAGTTTCTATCAGTCATCAAGATCAAGAAAATTTAGAAGATTGTCTCTATTAGAGCTCTTGGATTCTTTAGCTTGTTTGCAGTTTTTAGGTAGAAAAGGTGTGTGTTGAACCAGGGCTTGGCCCTTTTCCCCATTTACAAGGCTTGTTTGCACTGTACTGAATTCTTCAGCTAAAACATATGTAATTTCCTACATGCTGTTTCGTAATCTTGAAGCAAACAAAGTCTTAAGGTCTCTTATATAGTCAACTGTTTGTTAAGTATTCAAGTCGTTACTTTCCAAATTCCCACTCTCGAGTTGCAAGAATACCTTTCACCACATTATTGTATAAATAAATAAGGCCTTGGATTAAGTGAACACATGAAGATCCAAAACTCAAATACCAGGATGACAATCTTTACCAATGGAGGAAACAAAAAAATACAAGTAGTAGCTAGCTTAAGCCGGTTACCCAACTATAATGTATTAAAACACGAATGGCATTATTCAACTCCATCTTACCTAGTTACCAACTGAAAAATGTGTGCAATAGCCATAGAAAGATCTCTTCCAAATGACAAAGGTACAAGTTACAACAATGAAAACTTCACTTCACATTTCCTCTGGGTCAACCATCTTTCGAATTATATCAATAAGACGACGGCACAGACTCACAGAAATCACATAAATTTGCACACCAGACACTACCTTAACTTGAGCAATCACATAAATAAGCTATAAGTTATAACCACTAATTTCAGAGAGGTTCATCTATGTAATGGACATGGGTAATGTCAATGATTCATATCCCTGCCACATTGTCATTCTACTCCATGATTCATATTCACACCACATTGCCATTTGGCCTTCCCTAAAATAACGCAAAACAAACTAAGAACACATGGAAGAGATGCCAATTCGATAGGAATGAAATGGATTGGTTGCTCATTTAGAATTGTTCTACACAAGTACAAAAGTCAAATATTAATCAGGTGTTTGCATGCATCTACAGGTAGTTCAAGCACGCGCAGGTTTTTGTATGTTAATCTGCATTACTAATCTTTCTAAGGAAGCAAGGTATAATTGTTCAGAACTAAGTGCAATAAATAGAACTTACCCACAGTGCTCAGCGCAGCTTTTAGATATGATTGTTGACTGAGCACCACTATCAACGAACGCTGAAAGGAAGTGAAGCAAAAAGTCTACAATCAATCAAAGCAACAGGGAAGAGGATTTTAAAATACAAAGTAACAAGCTACACTACTCAACATCACCGACTCAAACTTCTAAACTTGAACTGTAAGCTATCTGCAACAATTAATCATTGGATTGTGCAAGAAAAACAACATAGAGCACAGTACTTAACAACTGCATTAAAGACCAAGTAAGCATGTTCCAAGAGAGGGGGGGAAAAAAATGTTTAGCAGGCAATACAAGAAACACAGGGCTGTTACTGCATGTAGAATTAAAAACAAGTGTAACGATAAAAAATATAGAAAAGCATGGCAGCAAACCATGCTATTTCCCTTGTTACTACCTTCAAAGGGACACCATTGACTTCCATGTCAACATATAACATGACCTGAAAAGTTCAAAAATAATTTAAAACTCATTTACCAAGAAAAAATAAGTACAGTTTTTACATGTGGCAGTCAATTACACATACCACCCTTGCAAAAGCTTCAGGATTGTGTTCAAGAGCAGCTGCCCAGTTCTCATCAATACCTTTCTGCAAACCATTTAAAAACAATGCAAAGAACCAAAGGGAAAGTAGTTATTTGAGAGAACAAATAGAAGGAAGGGGGAAAAAAACTAACAAGATAAGTAACACAATCAGTGGTAATTTCTTGTAAAATGTTTATATTACTGTCTGGGTTTCAGATACATATTTAAGGAAAGTACTTTCTAGCACCAAAATGACAAGCTTATTTATGAAATATAAAAAATAATAAATAAATAAGCACATATGTTGGCTCAGGGTATTCAATCCTAAGTAGCTTGATATTCGATTGAGCCAATATTTTGGGAAATATAAAATGAGTGATGCTATAGTAAATGAGTTTCTCGCTACATTTTATTTATTTATTAATTTTTACCACTACACAAAGATAATAAGATCCACATTACTGAATGCGCGTGAAACTCAAACCTTTATGTCTACTAATAAGAAATTTAGTATGAGTTTTAAAATAAATTTTTACACCCCTGGTTACAATTTCATACTAAGTCGCAAACTCATACCTTGAGCTCTAATTCAAACTAAATTTAGTTATAAACTTGTACCTTCATCTGCTTTAAACCCCTGTTTACAATTTCATATTTCGGTTGCGTTTGAACTTTGGGTTTATAAAATAAAATAAAGAAAAATGAAGTACAAGTTTTTTTTTTTCACAAATTCAAAATTTGAGGTCCAAATAGGGCCTTCAAAAATTTCTTAAGCCATAAACCATGCCTTCTGCTGCCATTTAAGGTGGCGAGAGAGAGAGAGAGAGAGAGAGAGATAGAGAGAGACTTAGATGATTAAGGGCAATATTTCTTCTTTCATTCAGTAGAGCTTAAACTTCTGAATTTCAATGTATAACATATGTACTGGCTGACCTTCACACACCTTGTCCAGTCTAAATTCTAAGTTCCAAATTCAATCCTGAGTAGCTTGATAAAATGTGTACATAGTTCAATGGATTTTATTAACTTTCATAGTAAAATTGTGATAAACATTAGAAATTCAAAATCATAATGTTACACATGCTTGGCATCAATCAATAATGTTGACTACTGTTATGTCACCCTATTTGATATTATAAATTATATCAAATTAGTGGTTCTTTAAACTTAAAACTATGTATGTATCACTATTAAAAGGAGTATTGATTTAATGATGAAATAATTAACATACCTATTTAGAGTACACCGACTAGTAAGATCAAACATAAACAAAATTGCTACTGCATCTTTGCAAGCAATAGGAATTTGATCAAGTGACCTATTGTCTCCTACATCCAAATTAAAATTACAAACAAACAAACATTTTAAGTAAATAGAATCCAAATTTTTTAAACTAAAGAACGAAAAAATTACAGAGAAAGTATAACAGATCAGCAGATTTGACAATGAGAAAGTAGAGAATGAAAAATGTACCTGATATAAGAGCAAGAGAGATATGCTAGAACAGATCGATTTTGGATTTTGGATCTGCGATTTGATGAAGAACATATCGATTTGATGAAGAACAGAATGGATCGATTTGATGAAGAACAGATCGAGTTCGAGTTCGATGAAGAACAGCTAGAGCAAAGCCCTCGAGCGATAGAGATCGATGAAGAATAGCTAGAGAGTTCGATTGCGAGCGATAGAGATCGATGAAACGCAAACCATCGAGGGTTTTGGATCTGCAATCGAGCAAATCGAGGGTTGAGAATGAGAAATTGAGCGAGCGAGCGAGCACGAGAGTGTGTTTGAAACTGAGCGAGAGAGAGTGGGAGCTTCAAATCGAGGGTTTTGGAAGAGAGGGAAACTAAGTTGCGGTAGAGATTGAGAAAGAGAGACTGAGTTCAAAGAGACGGAGATTTTGACGGTCAATACATTGACCCAATACGGCGCCGTTTCACTGAGATCAGACACAACGTTTTTTCAAAACGTTGTGTTTCGTTAATTTATAGTGGCGTTTCCCTAAACGCCACAAAAAAAAAACCGTTGCTGTAGACCATTTTTCCTGTAGTGAATCTTATTACTAACCATAGTGTATGAGAGAAGTTGAATAGGGTACTGTAGTAACCATATACGGATTGTATCTATAGTTATTTGTATGAGGGGATTTTAAATGCTGATCAGGGGATTTTGACCAAATCAATAAATGCTGTCATGTGGAAAGACATGTGGATTGAAAAAAATTAATAAATACTGATCAGAGAATTTTAATCAAATTAATAAATGATGAGTTTTTTTTTAAAATAAAAAATAAAAAATTTAGAAAATTCAGATTGAGATATTGAAACTCCCACAGGCCTTGGGGGTTAAAAATCCCTTTTTACTTAATATATAGTATAGATTAATAAGATTTAAATTTAAAATTTCATATTATTACTCGACTTAATGGGTAAAGTAAATTAATTATGTAGGAGGGAGCTCTTTTTTCTAAAGTAAATATATTAATTGTTGGTTCTCTCGTGCCTACCAATTGGTGCCAAAAGTTTTTTTTTAGTTGATAAGATTTAAATTTTTTTTATAGGTACAACGGAAAGTAATAAGATTTAAATTTTAACATTTCATATTAGTACTCAACTTAAAGCACAAACAATAATGGCTAACGTGTATTAATAATGTAGGACGGAGCTCCTTTTTGTTTTGTTTTATAATTGGGGTATGATGAAGATTATTTAAAATTGTATAGAAAAAATTACTTTAGACATGAGCAAATCCACAATGAAATGTTGCCTAAACATTTATTTATTTATTACATCTTGTGACATTTTGTTCAATTTTATTATATTCATTATATGACTTACTTAAAATTGAGTATTATTAAGGACATTTTTTTAATCCAATCCAAGGGCCACTTTGAATAATTAGAATTATTTATTTTGTAAGATTTATAAAGAAGAGTACCTATATAAAAAATCAAACTAATCGAATATCAATAGTCAAATAATTAGACTATGAGCTCGTTTGGGATGTCCCATTGGGACTAAAATAGCCACATAAGACAAAATAAGTTATTTTCAGATTTATGGTGTTAACAGTATTATTAAGGACATTTTTTTAATCCAATCCAAGGGCCACTTTGAAAAATTAGAATTATTTATTTTGTAAGATTTATAAAGAAGAGTACCTATATAAAAAATCAAACTAATCGAATATCAATAGTCAAATAATTAGACTATGAGCTCGTTTGGGATGTCCCATTAAGGCTAAAATAGCCACATAAGACAAAATAAGTTATTTTAGACAAATAAAACAAAATGTCACATACAACCTATAATCATTTCATTTTTTTTCTTATAAAAGTCAAAAAAGTCAAAAAGTCTATCTCAAATGAGATTTTTTAGCTTCAGGCTAAAATAACCAAAAATCTAAAAAGCTAAAAAACCAACCCACATCCCAAAAGTCAGTTGTTAATTGTTTGATTAATACCTATGAGGATTAGTCTTCTCATCCTTGCCTCTTAATTCAATTCCCTTTAAAGAGAGTTAAACTTATGACTTGTCTCTTAAAATTTAATAAATCAGAGTGGCCTAGTTGGTTTCATGAATTTTATTCTTAATCTACACTACAAATTAAATGAATGGGATGATAAATTTATCAACATCATTCTAGTTAGATACCACTAGTGTAGCAATCTCCTTCTGATTAACCTATGTAAAGTTATTACAGCACCTTTTGACAATGTAAATTGGGGCTATTTTAGCCAATACGGGACAAAAGAGATTAAAGTAGTCAAATAGAGACAAAAATTACTGCAATTGATTGGCAACAATCCACTTTAAGGTAAATTTATCAAACTACCCCCACATGAAAAATCACAAATAAAAACAAATTAATGTATACAAATAAAAATAAAAATGACAAAAACGTAAATTAAAAAAAAAAAAGAACCACAAAAATACGCCTCATCCAAAAATTAGCATTTTCCACATCATTTAAAAAAAACATAAAAAATCTTTTTCTAAAAACAAAAAACAAATTAAAACAAAGAAAACCTTATTATTTTTCAAGTCATTTGAAAAAAAAAAAAAAAAAAAAAAAAATAAAAAAAAAAAAAAAAAACATAATAAAGCCTTTTCCAACAAAAAAAACAAATAAAAAACAACAACAATAACAACAACAACAAAAACACGTTAAAATGAAACTGAAATAAGCATTGTCAACGTCATTTAAAATTAAAAAACAAGAAAAAACCTTTTCAAAAAAAAAAATTAACAAAATAAAAAGTCAATAAAATGAAACTGAAATTAGCAGTTTCCACGTCATTTCAAAAAAATAAATAAAAAAGCCTGTTCCAAAATAAAAAAAACAAATTAATATATCTATATAATAAGGCAAAAACCTTTTTGAAAAATGTATCAAAATGTATATGAGATACATTTTGATCCAAGGGCTAAGATCAATGCCAAATATATATCAATGGTTGGGATGCGTTTGATTCCCGCCCAAACACGCTCTGCTCTCTCTCCCACGCCTACCAAACACGCCTGCCTCTACCCAAACGTTATCCTCAACTCCCTCTCCCTCTCTCTCTCTCTCTCTCCCTCTCCCTACTGTGCTTCACAACCGATCTGAGATCAGATAGCATTGCTGAAGGAGGTCATCAATGGCTGAGATGTGTTCGATCTAGGGCTTGATCTGATCAATCTTGTAGAGATTCGGAAGGAGGTCGAGATCTGGCGTTCCGATCACATGGCCCATCGGATTGACGGGAAAAAAAAAATTTGGAAATTTCGACTTCTTTGGTTATTGATTTGTTGATTTTGCAGACTTCTTCCTCCTGAAGTGCTTCTGTGGTTCTGTGGTTCTACTTCTTCCCAAATTTCTGCTTCTGTGGTATCTGCTTCTGTGGTTCTACCTCCTGAAGTGCCCAAACTTCTTCCCAAGAATCGCCTTCTCTCTGAAGTAAGTAATTAGGGTTTAAAGAAAATGGAGTGGAATTTGGAGACATGTTTTCTTTGCAGACATGTTTTCTTTGATTTTGGTTTTGAATAGAAATTTCACCTTCTCTCTGTGTTGTCATTAGGTATATGAGATAAAATTGATAAACTGGTCCGACTCTGGTTTTGGTTTTGAAGATAATGGAATTGTTCAAATTGGTCCTATTCCCAATTACGGTTCCGAACCTAATTAAAGTGGAATTGATAAAATTTGAGTACTCAAACTTATCAATGTACTCAAACTTATCAATGTTCAAAACCAAATTACGGTTCAAAACCAAAATCAAATTTGAGTACACCTTTGCAGACATGTTTTTTCACATTGATAAGTTTATCAATTCCACTTCAATGTGATAAAAATTCAAATTTGAGTACACCTTGATTTTGGTTTTATTTAAAATTCACATTCCAGTAGATCAGTTTATGAGAAAATTTGATCAGTTTATCAGTTTAAAGAAAACAAAACACTTTTGATGGTATCATATATTTGATTCTGTGTTTGTGTTGTTTTTTTTTTTTGTATTGTTCAGATGTCTACAAAAAGGTGTTTTGATTGAGCTGCTGCTAGGGTTCTGTTTGGTTGCTCTGCTGATGAATTCTTTTGATTTTTCCAAGCTTCATCCTTTTCTGGTACTTCACCCCTATCCT